AAATCTGTTTTTGAAGGCATATTTTTTCCTAAATTTTATTGAAGACAAAATTAAAAATTGAGTAATAAGAAACATAATAAAAAAATATTATCTTTTCTCACAATTTATTCCGCTAGATATTTATTTATTACTCGTAGTTTTCAATGGGTACATTACAGTATTGACATAAACTTAAAAATGTGTAGTTTATCAAAATATTTACACTGTCGTTGTAGGTTCTGGAAAACTAAGATTTTATGGTTAAACCGTTACGAGAATCTTGTAATAAACCACTTAACTAATCTTATTTGTTTGAAAATTTTAAAAATAAATTTTGTAAAAACAAATTGTCGATTTTATATTTTATTTATAAAATGGCATACAAATAAATATCATAACAATCTCTGATATAATAAATAAAAACAAATATTGCTTATTTATGTTACAAAGAGGATTTATGGAATGGCAAAATTCTAGCATTCCTATCGTAGATATTGGATATCGGGTTTTGTCAGGTTTTTGAGGCTTAAACATTCTTTGCAGGAATAGGGACAAATAATATTTGGCACAGTCAATAAATTATTTAAAAAGAAGTTAGTCAGGTTACGATTTCTGATTGTGAAGAGGATATAACTTGTCGTAAGGTATCCTGTAGACACTTTTGAACAAAATCCCTTCCATAATTTGGGTAAATACTTCCTCGATGGCAGGTTTTACTTCCTCTATAATATCTTGCAAATTTTCCTTAATTACATTATCAGCAGCTTTGGCTAAAAATCAAGTGTGAATAAATTTCTATTTTTTTACAAGAAACTACTGTTTAGAACACACCCCAATTGTAGTATTCATAAACTTACCTAAAACTTCATTTCCATCAAACAAACCATCCATTTTGGACTTGACTTCACCAACATCAATGTAGATTTTGGTCTTCTCAGATTCGAGGTAAATCTTGCCTTTTTTCGTCACCAATTTTGCTTGTTGTACAAGACTTCCATTTGAACTAACTGAATAAACAGCATGAAAGAGCAGGCAACAATTTGATTTTAAATCACTTTACCTACAGTTGTGTCCAATTGTCCTTTACCTTCAATGGGCACTGTTAAAATTTTTCCTTTGATAGAATAATTGCCTTTAATGTTAATTTTTCCCATTGTGACCGCCCCAGTGAAAAGGAGCTTTTTGACATCAAAACTAAGATTTTGCAAAATTATATAAAATTTTAATCATCAATTTATTGCTTACTCAAATTTTGTGAATTTATAAGTGTCCAATCCTGTGACTATAACATTGGTGAGGGACGATTTGTAACTAATAAATTCTGTTCCAAGTTGGAGATTCACTTCGGGAACATAAAACGGAGAAATTGGAGGAACATTTAACTCTGGAACACCTTTTTGTAAAAACGGTCGCACTTGTTCAGTTGCATTTAAAAGGCATTGATTCAAATCCGGGTCGTCTCTATAGCATCTAGGATAGTACACCGCTAAAAAATTAATTTTGCAATATCAGTTATTTATAGTTCCAAAATAAAATAAATAAATAAATGACACTGGACTATTTAAAAAATGTCAAGATAAGGAAAGGTACATTGCGAACCTTGAGTCAAAACACGCTGAATCAATTGTATTAATTAACCTTAAAACGGGAATTTTTCACCTTGACTCATTTTTATTCAATATCTAGACAATAATAAAAATTTATTAAAATGTAACTTACGAAGATCTCTTTCGCCGACTGTTAAACAAATATTTATAAACAAAATAACAAGAATTGATAATTTATTAAAAACCATGATTAATTCTTGAATATTATAACAAGTATTCTAAATAACAATTAACAATTATGGATCTTGTCACTACTAGAATAAAATTCGTAAAGTTTGTTATATAAGCGGCTACCACCACTTGCCCTTCAGACACAATTTTAATCATCATGAATGTCTTTCATTGGGTATCTGTGCAATTAAAAGAAGAGGTAAACAGGTTTAGTTTTTTATATAGATAATCCATGGAAATTAACTTTGAACAATTTGAGCCTAAAAAGAAAAGTGGTGTTGTGGGTTAAGATCACAGTTGGGGAATCACCTTGTATGCTTGCAAAGACAAATCCACGATTTACCAAAACCTAAAATTTATTAATAAAATATCGCATAAATGTTTATTTAGATTAAAACAGAAAAACAACATTTGACAAAGGGCTTTTTGGGGTTTGCAATGAACAAAAGTTGGACATTTTTTGCATCATATTTTTATATGACTAAAGTCTTAATTCATCATTTAAAAAGAAAAAAATCCAATGGTGCTAATCCATCATGGACTAGAAAATTTTGTCAAACACGGTAAGTTTTAACAAACCAACGCAAGAAACCTCTTTTTCATGGGAAACTATGGAATTTAGGATTCTGTAGCCGAAAGTCGCAAAAAACTACAACCCAAATAGTTAGGGTACTCCTTACCCTATACCTCCTTATTTTAGAACGCCCCTGATTAAAAATTTCGATTTTTATCTTCGAATTCGTTTAGGTATATACTCGTAAAGCAGTTGTTGCAAATTTTGTAATTTTATCTAAAAATCCCATTCAAAAACGCACCCTTTTCAAGGAGTATAGCACCATTACATAATATTTTTTGATACATGTTTGTAGGAAACTTTTGTCTCAAATTTGAATATGAAAATTTGAATATTTTATTATAATAAAAACAGAGCACGCTGTATAATTAGCAATTTTTAACCACAGTAAAATAAACCAAAGCTGCTTTCAATTGTTGTTTTGATGATGTACTGCTTTTAAAAATGTTAATTTAGTCGCTTTTCTAAATGATTTGTTTTTCATATTACATTTTTTTTATAGATTAGAAAAGTTTAATGGATCTTTAGTTAGGTGCACTAAATTTTTAACAAACAACTTTTCTTTACAGATTATTATTAATTTCTTAAAATTTCTTTAAGTGTCCATAAGATTTGAAATAATTTTTCTTAAATACAAGATTAAAAAAAAAAAAAAACATTAAAATGTTCTTGACTAAAATTTGTTTAGAACCAACTTTGAGAACGGGAAACAACATATACGACTATTTTTTTAAACTTAAATAAACAAAATAATGTCTTATTTAATTACTTATTGAAATATCCAGGTGATTTAAAAGTGTCGGAACATCTCTTGGGTAAATAAATTCCTATGACAAAAAATTGTTTGAGCCTTTTTTCATTGAGCTCTTTAAAGATTAAATTTTGGGTTAAGTTCTTGGTCGTTCCGATTATGTAATCTTGAATTTAGTTAGGGGAAATGGCGGGTCTTGTAAGACTGAAAAAAACACCAACTTGTGTCTTATGGTGTAAAAAACATTTAACAAACAAGCAAACTTAACAATAAATTTAATCTAACAATAACGGAAACAAAAAAATGCCTGCGTGATTATATGAAAATTGACAGTTCTGTTTTTTTTTTAATAAAAAAAGCTTCAAACAAAAATTTGAATTCATTTTTATGTTTAGCTGAAAGTCTTCTTTCACCATTCGAGAGTTGGTCCAAAACTTTTGAATCACTCTGTACTTGGTGAGAATTTCTTATCATAATGCTACAAATGTAGCTACTAGCTTTATCCTGCTTTTTTTTAAGAAAAAGCACGAGTCAATTTTTTATAAAATTTATATATCGTAGAAAAATACATAAATTTTAACAATAAAGTATGTGTTCTTAACCTATTCTTATAATTAATTGATTATTTAGTCTACAGGATACAGTTTGTCAAAAGGTACATTGTCTTCCAAAGCTCTAAAGAGCCACTGTTCTACAATATTCGTAATAATTTGCTGAATCACTGGTTTTAGATCTTCAAATAACTCATTAACGTTATCGTTAATTACAGTATTAGTCACCCTATCTGTAAAGAAAAATACATTGTAACAATAACGTAATTACAGGAATTACATAAGTCAATTTTTACACTTTCTAAAGTTTTCCTATTGTTATTATCAAAAATTAATTTAATGCCAAACACTGACTTTATTTGTCATACTTACTTAGTTCCTCATTTCCGTCAAAAAGTCCATCCAAATGGACCTTTGGACCACCTACTTCGATAGTTGTAGTGGTGTTAACAGGTCGGACATAATCCTTTCCTCTTTTTTTTACAAATTCGACTTTCTGAAAAGCGGTGATATTCGAATTAGCTTTAAGAAAAATTAGTCAATTTAGCCCTTGATGAATAAAATTAACAAATACCAATGCCGGCAACAAATTTCCCTTTTCCTTCAATGGGAGCTAAGAGAATTTTTCCAGTAACAGTGTAGTCGCCAGTCAAATCCATATTGTCGATTGTAGCCTTACAAAACCATTGTAAATTTGGAACATCAAAACTTTGGAATAAATTTTGATTTTAAAAATTTACAAAGTGTGAAGAAACTCACTCAAATTGCGAAAACTTGTAACTTCCTAATCCTTTAACAACGACGTTTTTCAGTAAAGCTTTGAAGTTCAAGGCTTGAGTGCCTTGCTCTAGTGTTATTTCAGGAATGACATAGGGCTCAATTGCAGGGACTCCGAGCTCGGGGACACCTTTGATAAGGTAGGGTTTGACCGTTTCGGTCGCTTTTAGCAAACATTCGCTCAGTTTGGGGTCGTAACGCTTACATCTTGGAAAGTAGGAAGCTGAAATTTAATGTCAAATGAATTTTAATTAGAAAACAGTTGCATTTGAATTCAAAGAGCCAAAATTTATACGAATTTTAATTTTTTACAAAAAAAACTTGTCCTTAATTGGTTTTCAAAATATTCCTTGTCTTTTCCATATTTTTTTATTGAAAATATTTGAGTGTACTAAAATTATTACAATTTTTTTACGAATCTATTTAAATCATTGAAAATTTTATTATTCCCTACTTTAAACATTAAATTGTTTGTGATGTAACAATTAGGGCAGTACATTATCCACTTTTCTTATTGCAAGGTTATTTTAGAAATGCTGTTTGTATCAAATATAAACCCAATACTCACTTTCACAAAATGCACAAACGTCACATTTTAATGAATAAAATAATTTTGTACTTACGCAGATCGTGGATAACTGCATCAGAAATTGTAAAAAAGACACAAAAAATAAGAATACTTTTAATTAATAAATACATAATTGTGATGAACTGCTAAAGACTGGACGACAGACTGCTTGAAATGGCTATTGAGAAATTTATATGTTTCGACCAATGTTATTCGATACAATGAAGGAGCGCCTTGGTAGTGGTTATGTTGAAATTATAACATAAATTATAGGTTTAACGAAAATTAATTAGGCAAATTAAGAAAACAACAAAAACTGTTAATTCTAGAATTGTAAAAAAAATATATAAAAATTTAGACTGCATTAAATTAATTAATATTAATTTATTGGATGCAACAATGTTAACCTTCAAGTAAATAACATTTTGTAGTTATTTACTCGTTGTTTTGCTGTTTATAAACTATTGATTCCTCAATTGTGGAAAATTTATGCAAAACTTTAAATTTTTAAAAATTTTCGAAAATATTGTTTTGCCGTAAAAAACAAAATAAATAGGGTACAATTATTTTTAATGAACTTAATTAGATGTTTTCTTCAATTGCTTAAATTATATGTCTTGTAGTTACAAATAATATTAATGATCTAAATTTAAACAGGGTTTGTTATCAATCTGAATTGCGAAAATGGCTATGTTTAAGTTTATTGTGTTTTTTTAATTTATTGTTTTAGCAGTAAAAACAAAAAAAAAGGGTTCTCCATAACTTATTTCATTAAATAACTACGTGATTTAAAACCTGCTATTTCATTATGATATAATATTGTTCGCATTAGAAATAAAACAATAAAAATAGTTTCATGTTATGTTGTTATGTACATATACCTACTTAGTTAAACCTGTTTATTGATGATTTTAGATAAAAAAACGCAGAATTACGAAATAAGAAAATTATTTTTACAAATACTCGTAGTAACAGTCTATATCAGTCATTTATTTTATCACTTTGCCACTGAGGAGCAATCTGTATTGTGATAATAATAATTAAATAATTTATATGGATTGGAAATTTCTCCCTAACAATACCATTACATTTGGTAACACTTGTTTATTCTTTCATTTTAACATTTGAACAAAACTTTTCTCAGCCAAGCTTAAAACTGCATGAAACCACCTCTTTACCCCTTTTGTCAAAATATTAAAAACGATCATTTTTCTTTAGAACTTTATACCTAATGCATTTAATATTATTTTATTTCGAAAAGTAAAAAGTTAAAGCAATAAACACTTGGTTTTTTATATTTTTTTATATGTTCTTAATACGACGATTTTTTTATGAAATTCATTTTTGAGAAGATTCCTAGTTTCAAAATTACGCAAGAATCTCTAAGAAAAAACTTCGAATTCTTTGGTCTAAAAATTCGATTTGATTGCTCATCATAACAAGAAAGAGGTATTCAAAATTTTTATTGCAATCAATAAAATCAATCAAAACCGTTTGCACTTAGGGATGCTTGTTGGTTTGTTCATTTGTTTCCACCAGGAAGAAAGAACTCTTCAAAGGTCAACAACTTAAAAATGGGTTTATGATTCTCACTTTAACTGGCAAATTTACTTTCAGTTTCTTGACCCACTTATTTTTTTTTTGTTTTTTTTTAATCATCATTTTTATACTGAATTCTGAATTGAGTATACAGATTGTTTCAGAACTCGCGCCCCATAGAAAAATGTTATGTCATATAAAGTAAGCTACCAGGAATATAAAAAAAAATGTTAAAAAATTCTATCAAAGTTTTGAAATTATGGGAGATTAAAAAATTTGCACTTTGGTTCTATTTATTTCTGTTAGAAAAATAATTTCTTATGTTTTTTGCTGCAGGCTGTTAGAAGAGGAAACAAGGAAGCTGTATCCTAAATTGTAACTATGTTTGAAAGGTGCAATATTTTTTGTCCAAAACTACTCCTCTATTGGTGTTCAAACAACAATAAAAATGTTGCAATTTTGTACGCTTCCACATTCGAAGTTCACGCCTCCATGGCTGTTTTAGAACTTACACAAATAGTGCAAAAGATGATTTTGATTCAATAGCTAAGATGATAGAAGCAATCTTTGAATTTTTGAAAATGCAGTTGACACATTAGCACCGCCAAAAAGCGTTCCGCAATGTTGTCTTGGTCAGTTTTCTCTGCAATTTTTTATTATAAATGAGCCATGAAGGTTTGCAACTAGTAATACACAACTGTTTGTTTAGCTTTTTGAAGTCAACTCGACAATATAGTTATAGTTATAGTTATTTGAAGTTCTGTTCAACCAAATCGGAAAAGAATAAAAACAACAAAGCACATAAATGTTTCATTAAAATTGTTGTATCATGAAACAATACTGAAAATTTCTCTTATTCTAACCCATACACATTCAGCAAAAAGCTTTTTTTCGAAACTTGTCTAAATTTAAAAATATAGAATAAAACTCATTTTACAGTTCTAACCATTTATTAAGTACATAAGTATTTTACAAATCTTGAAAGTTATTAGGTAGGTACCACGTAAAAGTAAAATGGTTCAAATTTATTAAATTTGAAAACGCATTAATAAAAATGTACTTTAAACAAAATTATTTTTAGAATTCAGAAGACGTCCATTATGAACTATTTTATCAATTGACTCTCAATTTCTACATTTAACATTTAAACCTTCCATAGAATAAAAACACTAAAACTACCAGAGAAAAAAATGAAAAATTAGTTTCTTATTCGGGTAACAATTCTTTGGCGGGGATTGTGGCCAGCACTTGATTCAAAATAACTCTGTATAAATCTGTAGCAGTCTCTACGAAGATTGGGTTCACGGCGTCCATCACACGACGTGGGTTTTCATTGTAGAAGTTGGCAATGAGATCGGCTGTAACAATAATTATTTATGTAACAAGAGAAGAAAGTTTTTTTTTCTGCCTTCACCTTCGGCTCTTGAAATAATTAAGTACTCAAAAAAAGAATTTTTTTTCTGTATTTCACATACAGGTGCGCCAGAACTCGCGCCCCAGAGAAAAATTTCGAGTAGTATTTAGATACCAGGAACATGAAAAAAATTTGACATTTTTTAAGTATATTGAATGATACTGATGATCTTATTTATGTTTATTTATAATTATTTAGTAAAAGTACAAAAATTTTGCCAATAAAAGCCACAAATAACATTAAACAAAGTTACATTTTAAGATACGGCTTCCTTGTTTCCTCTCCTAATAGCTTGTAGCAAAAAAAAATAAAAAAATATTTTTCCAACAGAAATAATAAACTCAAAGTGCAAAATTTAAACTCTCATAACTTCGAAATTTTAATAGATAGAATTTTTTCAACATTTTTTCTATGTTCCTGTATCTTATCTTACATGGCATTTTTCTCTGGGGCGCGAGTTCTGACGCACCCCAGAGTTTTGAGTTTTCTGGATTTGTTTTTTTTTTTTTCGAAAAAAATTACTCTTGGGAGTAAATTTCATATTCTCATAGTTTGGAGGAGCCAAAAGTAACTTTCTGGTTTGTTGTTTTTGTTAGTTTTGATTTGCATAAATAATTAATTTTGGTTCATTCCAAGGATATCATGTTAAAGCTCCTTCAAGGTGAAATTTTATATAAAAATATAAAATATAAAAATTCTGTTTACCTCCAAATTGAAGATCGGGATTATCAGCAATAAGTTTGATTTCGCCATCTCCAACCCTGATTTTCATGTTGTACTTATCAACTTGGAAATACTTGACTCCGTTTTTGTCAACAAGCTTGAGGTTTCCCTTGGCATATATTTGAGTGTTGGCTAAAAATCATAGTTTAAACACCCAAATTCGCAACAAAGCGAAATAAACTCACTGAAGTTTCCACTGAAAAATCCTTTACTCCTCAACGGTATGATAAGAAGTTGTCCTACCGCATCATAATCCATATCAAGATGAGTCCAAGGCAGAGTTATTCTCATTTCAGCGGTGTAATTATGAGGGTTGGCTCTAAAAACCCAATTTCGTGTCAAGGAAGCAAAAAGAGTCTTCCGCGAGAAAGTGTATTAGAAAATCAAGTTGATTGACCTTAATCATTGTTGGTATATGTAATGTGTTGCATAATTTTTGATCTTACTTTGTGTCCTCGATTATGATGTTGCTGGCTCCGAGAACTTTGATATTTTTCATCACGGCTTTGATGCTGACGAGTTCATTGATGGTCCGGTCCACAGACATGAAGGGGAGTTCGAGGGGGTCGATTGGGGGCATGTTAATTTCGGGGATTCCCTTGACGAGGATAGGGATCGATTTTTCGAAGGCTTTGCGAGTGCAAGCGTTGTAATCGGGGTCATTTCGGCTGCATAAAATATTCGTGACGCGTTCAGCTGAAAAATATTATTACATCACTCGAGAAAGTTAAAGGAATAATCAAGGAAATGAGACTTCAACTTATGACCTTTTGTTGTTTTTTTTTTTTTAACAAACTTTGTTTATTTTATAAATTATTAAAAAAAACTTACGCAAAACTTTGCACTGGGAAGCCGCGACAAGAGCACACAACACCACAAGATACTTCATGTTTGTAAATAAATAAATCGACACACACCTTCGATATAAGCTCCTTTATAAAAGGGAAATTTTCCTACCTCCCGGCTCCCACCACTGCAAACGCTTTTACCATAAGTTTTGGGGTATTACGTCCCATCAATTAGTATCAAAACTGGTGTATTAATTCCAATTTTGGAGCTATTTTCATTAAATAAAATTAAATTGATTGCTTTAATTTACATATTTTTCAAAATTATTTCGTTCCGACTTTTTTAAATAAGACTAACTTTGACTGTTGTATATTTTTTGCCTAATGGAATTTTTAAGGAGGAAATTATATAACTCCAAATTTTGACTAATTCAGATCAGTATAGGAAGTACATCCTGTTACCAATTGAAGAAAGTATTACAGGAAATAAATTCATTGGTTTAAAATTAATGAATTCGGAAAGATATGCCCTTTGTGTTGTTACATACATGTTATTTAGAAAGGTCATTAGTCGCTGTTTTGAAATCACGTTGTTTACTTTACATTTAGTTTTGTCATAATTTCCCTCACAATAATTACGTTTGCTGAAATTTTGCTTGTGAAAGATGCAAGTCTTTCGAAAAATTGGAGACACATTATTTTTTACTTTTGTGGTTGTTGGACAATAATAGTCGTAAAATTGTGTCACATGAAATAAAAATTTCTAAATTTTGGTTTTGGTTGTCCACAAGCCTTTTAAGGTTTATTGCTTAAATAAACGCCTCACATTATTCATTGTTATAAAAAGAAAACCTATTAAAAGCGTAATTGTTTTTTAATACAACAGGATATAAATAAATTAAAGCTGAAACTTAAATTAAAGTCATCAATAATTTACGTCTTTACTTTTTAATATAATATAGTTTTATTCACGGTACTATTTTAAAGAAATGGTATTTAATATCAACCACCACTTAATAGTTTATGGCGTTTGATACAAAAAAATGTTAATTTTAATTTTTCTATAGTCAGAAAACACAAATTAATTAATTTGTAAGTCAACTTTCTATTGATAAAATAGTTATTTATTATACAAGACGATAAAATTGAATTTTATCTTTGAGAGCAATTTTATACGCTAATATGCTAATAATATGCTCGAAAAGATAATGAAAATTTTATCGTCGTGTACAATATAAAATTTTATTCAATCCTCACTAATTTTGTAGTCAATTTGGTCGATATTTATAAATGTCAAAGTAAAATTCAACAAACAAATCTAATGTCAAAGATCGTTAGCAACTAACAACCGCAGATATACAACAACGGATGCATTTTTTTTATCATCTAGACGATAAAATTTCATTTTAACATGAAGAAAAAAGTAAATAAAATTCAATTTTAAAATAGAGGATTGAATAAATATATTTTACTGGAAACTTTTGCTGTTTGTGTAAAGTTAAATTATGTAATTAATGAATATCAATTTTGAAGTCATTCACCGAGTAGTTTTCTACGTTATTAGTTAAATTGTCGGATATTATTGGAAAATATATTTTCTAATAATTCAAACACTTCCTCCACATGTTTAAAAAAAATACAGGAAGCAATAAAATATTCAATAAATATTTAAATATTTTCCATTTTACGTTGTCGTTACTTACTCCTATTTAATTATTTAAATGTTCGTAATTGAGGGAGTTTCACTAATTGATTATTATTATAATAATAATAATAGGCGTTTCTGTTTACAATTTCGGAATTTTAGTCAAAACGCAAATATTACCAGGACAAGGTTTTATCTAAAATTAGATTCAATTTGCCTTTTAATGTTATAACATTTCTTATTATTATATCACCCTGTAACAATAATTAAAAGACAGAAGAGTAGTAATCCTTGATCATTGAATAATAATATTCGTGTTTTAAGCAGCTGGTCTTGAAGTTTACCTTAAACTAGTTTCGTTCTTGTAACAGTCCATCTCCAAATTATTTAATTTTTATGATGGCTTGTTTTATGAAAAAAAAAACCTCCATTATGTAGAGACAACTTTTTAAGTAAAAATTTGCAAAAGTTTTTACTTAAAAAACTATGGAATTGTTACCTCAAAAGTATAAGAAATTCTCTAATTTTTAAAGCAACATAAGAATTAGATTTTTATAGCCATTAAGCAATAGTATTTTGCGGATATACACAAGGAATAATGAGCCTAACCAAATTTTCGATGCAACTAACATTATAGTTGTTGCAAAATAACTTGCGAAGAGTAATGATGGTTGCATCGAGAATTTGATCAGGCTCATTATTCCTTGAGAATCACCTTATAATTTCAAAGTACGTTTTTTTATAATTTAAATTACCCACTTGTGAAAATGAGTACCTTAAATTAGAAAGAATTAGAAAAAAAGAAAAAAGAATTGAATTAGAAGAATTAGAAAGATTTTATTTTCAAGAAAAACTAAGAAATACATATTGACCTTTTCATTATAACACTAGCACAGTCAGATCCATTTTTTTTCTTTATGCTATGCAACCAGTAATACAAAATTGTTAATTTCAACATTTAAAGACTCTTTAGTCGTAATTTTAGAAATTCTTATAATATCAAACTCTAGTAAAATTCCAACAATCCAAACAATTGTTGTATTTGAACCTACAAATTTATATGTACACTCTATTTGAGCAACTGTAAATTTCGTGAGTACGCAGTTTCGGAACTTCTTGCCCTATCTCAAAAGTCACAATTGCAGTTTGAGGTTAAAAAATTTGACAAATAATGAAATAATACAAAATTTGAATTTCTTCATTTTAATAAATGAAACCCGACTGAAATGGTACATTAATCGAAGCAAAAATAACAACTTTGCCTAATTCTAGCTAAATCTCTTTATTTAAGGAAAAGTCAAAGAAATACATAACAATATCCGTAGCGGCGTTTATTTGTTACTGTAACACACTTTGGGGCTCGTTTGTCTTTGACGACACCGAAGCAATAATCAAAAACAAAGATGTGATGCCTTACATTCCACTAAACGAAATATTTCGGAACGATTTTTGGGGCAGCAATATCTCCCTTAACAGTAGTCACAAGTCCTACAGACCTCTCACTATTTTATCTTATAGGTAGGTACAACACTAAAAAATTCGAACAAAACTTAACATAATTTCTAGACTGAACGTTTTGTATTCCTCTAATAAACTAGACGCATTCCAATTTCATGCAACCAATGTGATTCTTTATGGACTGTTATGTTTACTCACCATTCCTGTATTTGAATTATTCCTCCGCAAAAAGAAATCTCAAAAATCCGTTGACGACACTGCCTATTTATCAAGCTTGTTATTCACAGTCCATCCTATTCACACAGAATGTGTCGCTGGACTCGTCGGCAGAGCGGATATTTTGTGTTCCATTTTATTTTTTGTTGTGATATTATTGTATGATAAAGTAATTAGTAAAAAGTCGTTTTTGTTACTTTGCATTGTTGTGGTAACTACAGCGGCTGCTGTCTTGTGTAAAGAAACGGCGATAACTGTTTTGGTAATTGTTTTTTCACTTACCTAAACGATAATTAATTGAGTTAATATTTTAGGGCGTTTGTGTTGTTTATGATCTTTTCTTGTTAAAAAAACAAAGGAAAGATTGGTGTAACATATTTAGTATTTATTTTATTATACGTACTACGACTCTGGTTGTGACAGGATTAGTTATTTTGTTTTATAGATATAAAATAATGAACTTTGAAGGCCCGACTTTTACAAGCATTGATAATCCTGCTGCTTATGCCGATAACATTTTCGTTAGGGTAAAAAATCAATTGTGTGATAACTAACACTGACTATTTATTTTACAGATATTTTCTTACAATTATATTTATTTTTTAAATTTGTTGCTTTTGTTGTGGCCACAATGGCTGTGTTTTGATTGGTCAATGGGATGTTTACCTTTGATAGAAAGAATCTCAGATAAGAGAATACTCATCGTCTTGTTTTTCTGGATAATTATCCTAATATCAGCACATAATTTAGTCAAGAAAGTAATAGAAAACAGATTTCTGTAAGAAAAGATTTTTTTTCGGAAAAATACTAAAGTACTTTTCTAGAGACGCTAAAACAATGGCAATTAGTTTAATAATTCTCCCATTTTTACCTGCTTCGAATTTATTTCTAAAAGTGGGATTTGTGATAGCTGAACGTACCCTCCTGTTACCTAGTGCTGGATTTTGTCTATTGGTTGTGATTGGTCTCAAAAAAATCGAAACTTTTTCTCCTAGTCATAAATCAGTAATTTATTATTGAAAATCAATTTTACAAAGTTTGACTCTGATTTATTTCAGACTTTAGTTGTATTGTTTTACACTGTTTGTGTGATTTTTTCTCTTCGCTCAATTCAACGAAACTTTGAGTGGCTAAAAGAGGAAACTTTATTCACTTCTGCTCTCAATGTGTGTCCTTTGAACGCCAAAGTGCACTACAATATTGCGAAAATCGCCGGTGACCAAAACAACAAAACATTGGCTTTGGCCGAGTACAAAAAAGCCCTCGAACTCAACCCAAACTACGAACAAGCGATGAACAACTTGGCTAATCTGTTGCGAGAAGAGAGGAAGTTTGACGAAGCTGAAGCTTTGCTACGGAAAGCACTTGATGTTAGGTTGAATGAAATTTTGTGAAAAATTTGGGTTAATAGAAATTTTAGGCCGAATTTTGCGGCCGCTTGGATGAATTTGGGAATAGTTTTGACGAATTTGAACCGGACTGAGGAGGCCGAGCATTGTTACAAGACCGCAATCAAGTACAGAAATAAATACCCGGATTGTTACTACAATTTGGGCAATTTGGTAAATATACAAAGTCCCAAAACTCGCCCCTTCCATTTTCCCCTAGTATCTAGATCAAAAACGCAACGATGAGGCTCTCGAAGCCTGGGAAATGGCCGTCCTTTACCGCCCCACCCACGTGGCTGCTTGGAGCAACACTTTGGTGCTCCTGGATAGTATGCGACAATACGACAAAGTGCTGGAATTGGGAATTACCGCCCTTATCCACAACCCCAAATCCCCGGCTCTCCACTTCAGTCTTGCTAACACTTTGGGGAAAATCCAGCAGTTTAAAAAAGCCGAAAGTCACTTTCTGGAAGCGATCAATTTGAATCCAAACAACGCTCTCTACCACTCGAATTTAGGTACTTGTCACTAGTGGTCGACAAACAGTGTTATCAGTGGTGTTTGCAGGGGTTTTATATCACAGATGGGGTAAAATTGACAAGGCTCGTGAGATGTATAAAAAGGCACTTCAGATTGATCCTAGGATGAAAACGACCGAAATAAATCTTCGGAAATTGATAAATGCTCAAGATTGAGTGACGCAATACTTTTCTATCTCATTAACTTATTGTGCTACTGAACGAAATAAACGATTGAAATTTTTTCGGCTTTTTTGTACTTCCACGAACTCAACTGTTGAATAAATAATACCGACCTTCAACACTAATCAATATTAAAAGTTCATTAATTTAACTCAATGCTTCAACAAGATTAATTTCCGGAAAAGATACATAGTAGAAAGAGAATAACACCGCCCCAAAATTTTATTCAAAAAATAACCCTAAGTGATACAAGAAAATTCCCTAATTTAAGTATAAAATAGACGAAAATAAAGATTAAATCCTTTTGTCGAAATAATAATAATGAAATATGAAAAACTGAATTTCAAATTTAGTTTTAATAAATCTAAATATTGATACAATGTGGATTCTTTCCGAATAGTCGTCAAGAAAATAATGAAACAACCTCAAAATTTGTTGGTTTGAATTAGTCCGGTCAAATTAGTCATAAAAATAGTGGTCAAATAACGAAAATTCCGACAGAGCTAAATTTTGGTTAAGACCTTGGGTACACCATTAGAAATAAAGTGTCAAAAGTCCCCATCGATCCCATGTGTGCTAAGAAAGTTCTTCGGGGTCAATGGTCAAAATTTGCCGTTTTTTTCGAAAACGGTATGTTTTATCAAAAAAGTAGCCCAGACAAAAATTATAGATCTGAAAATTATCTATAAAAATTGTCTTTATACTTTTTTTTCTAAGAATCACCATTTCTGAGATATCGCGATTCTAAAAGTTGAAGGAGTATCGTTCTACATCATATGCACATACAGAGTGCGCCAGAACTCGCGCCCCAAAGACAAATGCCATGTAGGGTACTAAATAATTATAAAAAACATATACAAGGTCATCAGTATTATTAAATAGCCATAAAAAATGTCAAATGTCAAAAAATAAATGAATTTTTTTTTTGACAGATAGAATTTTTTAAACATTTTTTCAGTACTCTGGGGACTACCCAATTTACTCCCTTTCAAGGAAGTGCGCGGTATGTATAGCCAAATAAATTCTTTTTAATTCTAATGGAATCGAGATATTTATAAGTTTAATGAAGTAGAAGAAAAATTTCAAGTAAGACAAGATACCAGGAACATGGGAAAAATGTTTAAAAAATTCTATCTGTCAAAAAAATTATTTTTTGACATTTTTTATGTTTATTTAATGATACTGATGATTTTGTATATGTTTTTTTACAATTATTTAATAAAGGTACAAAACTTTTGCCAATAAAATCCACAAATAACATTAAACAGAGTTACAGTTTAGGATACAGCTTCCTTGTTTCCGCTTCTAATGGCCTGTAGCAAAAACAATAAATTATTTTTCCAACAGAAATAAATAGAGTTAAAGTGCAAAATTTAAACTCTCATAACTTTGACATTTTTATAGATTTTTTTTTAACTTTTTCCATATTCGTGGTACCTTACCCTACATGACATTTGTCTTTGGAGCGGGAGTTCTGGCGCACTCTGTATGTGCATATCATGTAGAACGTGACTCCTTCAACTTTTAGAATCGCGATATCTTAGAAAAAAATTATAAGGACCATTTTTGTAGATAATTTTAAGATCTATAAATTTTGGCCGGGGTACTTTTTGATAAAACTTACCGGTTTCAAAAAAAATCAAAAATTTGACAAATTTTGACCTTTAACCCCGAATAACTTTTTTAGCACACATGGGATCGATGGGGACTTTTGATATTTATTCCTAATGGTGTACCCAAGATCTCCACCAAAATTTAGCTCTGTCGCAATTTTAGTTATTTGAAATAGAGTAAAACCGGAGACTAAAAAGAGGGAAAACGTTTATGGTTTGTGTGAGAGAAAAACCAGCTTTTTATTCAATGAATTTATTGTGTTTCTATACAAATATAGTATTGACAATTTTGATGCGATAATTTTAATGACTAGGTGCACTGCTCTTCAATTACGATTTGAGCAGTATACAACAAGATTCCGTCCCCCGAAACGCTTAATTTCAGCGTATTAAATAAGAAAATAAATTAACAAGAAAACAACTATCACACTAACACTAGTTACTTTTGAAATAAATAATATCACAAGTATCGTTGCTAAATAAATAAATCAGGCCTATCTTATAAATAAAACGTGTAGCCCAATTGGCCAGATTAGTCCCTATTCGAAAATTTTGATTAATAAAGTTTTGCATTAGCCTTGGACTACAGTTTTTTATGCAAGCAACAGATCAACGGTCCAGATCCAAATTAGTTTGAATTCCTTTATAATTGACTACGAGAGGTATATGATACCTAAGACTGAGTATTCTAGGCCTTAAAAACGGAGATTACGTGTTGAACACTTAACGAAACTAATTTGCGAAATAAATACTTGTACTTCCCTCCTTGCTTAGTCTTTTGGACTAATTGTTTAAAAACTGCCGTTTGTCACATGATAATTCTTCAGCTTTTGCTTGTACTCGCTTCGTTTTTGTCGGAGTTTTCCGTCGTGTCTTTCGTGGTGAGTGCTTCTAATTGTGCCGGCAAGTCGGAACTGGTCACAATAGCGTGTTCTCCCAGTATATTTGCCAAAGCATTTCGTCTTCCCGTTCTTCCTGATTGTAAAAAATCCTGAGGTCTGGCATCCTCCGAATTCGGGGTTGGAGGAGTTGATTCGTCCTTGGGAACCGGAGGATTGTTATTCCGGGACGCCTCCATTACCGCCAACATTTTCAGTACTAAAAATTCAAACAAACTGTGCCAACTGTTCGTTCACACTTAGAGATAACAATATTCAAACATACCGTTTGAATATTAATAGATAAATCACTTATTGCCACCAGGTTTTTACTACTACAGCCATTCAGTGCACATCTGACTCGTGTTAATGGTACAAAGGGGCTTTAATGAGTAAAAAAAGTGACAATAATGATGCTTGCAAAGTAAATAACGGGGGATAGTCATTCCAAAAATCGCGTAAAATTCTGTTAATAAATTAAAACTCAACATGCAATAAGTGCTCAGAGATGTAGGTTATTCGTCAACCCTTGTTAGTGTCACACCACCTACTCTGGGGGGCTGTTAACTAGAAGCTTACATTACATATCACTAAAAAGAGCACATTTTGCATGCTTCCTACCTGACTTTCTCGTCAATTTCGGTTTTCTTTTACGGGCAACGTAACCGTTTGTTTTGGGGTTGATGCCCGCGAGACGTTTTTGGGGCATTGTGATTTTTTTGGTTATAAGAAGTGAAAAAAAACACCTACCATCAAGAGGAGGGTGTACACCACCCGGTTATTCTACAAATTTATTAAAACTACTTCCACTCTCGGCTCCGAATTTGACCAAAACTGACAACTGATTTACATAAGTTTGACATTCACGCTTGCAACATGACGACAATAACAGTCCCAATCGCATTCAAGTTGGTTACGTTTAAAATCGTAATTTGTGCGTCATTGTTGGCGCTTGTATTCATAATTACGGCAATAACCTTGTCGATGGAGTTGATTGTAGATATGCGCTGCCAAATAATGCGTTGACGTAAGTAGATTGTATGCGATTTTTAATGGGATCTTAGTGGGATAGGTTGGCAGCGCGATTTTCAACTGTATGGTACTACTGCGTAAGGGTCAGGAGGAAAATCCGGGTTCCGGGCACGGAGTTTGAAGATAATTACGGAGAGAATGGCGTGAAGTGGCGTGAAGAGTCGGGAAATGAAACAATAGCCTTCAATTCCCGATAAAATATTAATTATAACAGTTTCAACGAAAACAATTTAATGTCTACAATCACGCAAAAGCACACTGGCTTTTTGAACAAACGGATGAATACAAAACCCCTTGAGACATTTTATTTACCAATAATAATAAGTAAATAAATAAAATAATAATAAATTAATAAGTAATTAACTGAACGTTAAACGGTTAATTAAAAATGGATAGGTAGGTACCTACCTACAACAAAATATCGGAATAAAAACATTATTAGAAACACGAGCAATGTACACATATTTATTTCCAGCTTATATTCACAAGAAATAATAAAAAAAAGAAATTTATCTGTAGTAGGAATTTGCTATATGTTAAATGGATAAAAATTGCTGGAGATTTTTTATTTTTTATTTTTAAATGTAAATCAATAAAGAAAACAAAGTGCACTTTTGATTACCTTTTTAATAAATGTTTCCTTTATTAATTTCCAAACTAAAAAAAAAGGATAAAAAATTATAATTACAATACAGAGTGCGCCAGAACTCGCGCCCCAGAGAAAAATGCCATATAAGGTAAGATACCAGGAACATGGAAAAAATATTTAAAAAATTCTATTTATATAAATTTTGAAGTTACGAGGGTTTATAGTTTGCATCACATTGAAAAAATAATTTTCCAAGTTTTTTTTGCTATAGGCTATTAAAAGAGGAAACAAGGAAGCTATATCCTAAATTGTAATTCTGTTCAATGTTATTTGTGGATTTTATTGGCAAGATTTTTGTCCCTTTACTAATAATTATAAAAAAAAACATATACAAGATCATCAGTATCATTAAATAGATATAAAAAATGTCAAATGTCAAAAAATATATTTTTCATCTTCCCGGTATCTTACCTTACTTGAAAATTTTCTCTGGGCCGCGAGTTTTGGCTCACCCTGTATATTTTTTTATAATCAATTGATCACCCATTATTTCAAAAATTCCTAAAAATCCTAACTCTACTAATTTTAAAAATATGTAGTTTGAAAAAATTTACCTATTCAATTCTCAGTTTAAAACAAATTGAAAAAAAAAATCCTGCAATAAGAAAATTTGATGAAATAAAAATAACCAAATCCTTTCTAAATATGAAATTCTGGGAAGCAACATAATAACAACATAATACAAAATTTATTAAACTACCTAATTTTTTAATCTTTATTCAAGAAAA